CGGCAAGTAATCTGCTATGCTGCATTTGTTGTCTCGCAAGTGATTCTCTCCTGATCCCGCTGATCTAATAGAAGTCACGTGACACAGTGAAATCGGCCACGCATTTTTATCTTTTTATATGTGTGGACGTTGCTTCTGAGGCGCTGACATGTCCAGTATTTTTATTTTTAAATTGCTGAGGGCAGCTCAGCTCCTGCTGTTCTCCTATCGAGATGGTAATGTTTACTTGAATGGTAATGTTTACTTGAATGGTGATTTTGACTTGAATGGTAATGTTGACGTGAATGGTAATTTTGACTTGAATGGTAATGTTGACTTGAATGTTAATGTTTACTTGAATGGTAATGTTGACTTGAATGGTAATGTTGACTTGAATGGTAATGTTGACTTGAATGGTAATGTTGACTTGAATGCTAATGTTGACTTGAATGGTAATGTTGACTTGAATGGTAATGTTGACTTGTATGGTAATGTTGACTTGATCGAATCTTTGAAGCTGTGTTTGTAGATGTTCTTGCTGGCCTTAGGAAATGTGCAGAGCTCTTATTCTAATGTACACGTACTTTGGAATAACAACAGATAGGGATAGTAGGGTACGACATGGCAACTGTCCATCGCAGCGTTACACATTCCTATGAAGTTGTATGTTCTTATTTCTCTGAACTGAATTTATAATAATGTTCCACCTCACTCTATGAGGCCATTCTGAACCATTATCATCAATATTGTTTTTTTTTAAAATCACTTAATAACCATGTATGGTGTAATCCATAATTTTGTAATCATACCATAACACCCACATCTGCATGTTTGAACTTTCGAGCATGGGGAAAACCCGGTCAGAATTTAATTTGATTTGCGCGTGGTGTAGGGTGGTAGACAAATTGTCATGTTACTCCAGTCGCCAAACGGAGGGGATCGAATTTGGGCTGGAGGCGACGTCATTTTATGAAATAATCACCGGGCTCCCCGTAGACACAATTGTTGTGGGATTTTTTTTGTCATTCGGCTCATTCCGCATGGCCTTTATTGATCTAATGCCGGTGGACACAGTTGTGGCTTTTAGCTCTTTGTTTCTGATGTCAGAACGCCAGCACAAAGAACATGATACTTTCCTGTAGCTGCCACTTGATTGTCTAAGGGTCTATTCCGAAAATGTCACATTGAAAACGCGTGAAATAAATGTGAGATATTACATAGATGAGAAGACCTGGTTCGTCCACGCCGACCAGGACAGGAATTATTCCTATAGATAAAAATGATTTATTCCCCAGATGAACATGAAATTAGATTTATTGAAAAATACGCATCTGAAAAGAAACAATGAAATGACAGAATCGGTGAAGTGTAGGCCAAGTTAGACATACAAAGAAAGTAGCAATCCTCACTTGTAAACATTTGCATCATTAACCTGAATGTTAGTCGGAAGTTAATGACATCAGGCTTTGAATGTGTGTATTGAATGTGTGTGTATTGAATGTGTGTGTATTGAATGTGTGTGTATTGAATGTGTGTGTATTGAAATTCACTTTCTTATTTGAAAGGTTTTTAAAAAAATATTTAATAAAAAAAACTTTGATAGCATTAAAACAACTATAGAGAAAAATGGAGCCTCCGTCCAACATTGAACACGTTGTGCGCCGTATTTCAGGATAAAATTAAGCACATGAAACAGACACAGTGTTTGAAAACAGGCTATCAAACGCTAAACTCTCTTGTGCCAAGTCTAAGATGAGGTTTTAAAAAAAAAGGGGGGGGGGATTGGGGAAATTGCAAAAGAAATGTAAAAACAGATTGACCACCTGGGAACAAATCTTTGTCACTAGCTCCAAACCAACCCTTCCTAACATAGCTCTATACTTAAGAGCGCCTTCAAAGATGGGCGGCTATAAATGGAGCCTCCGTCCAACATTGAACACGTTGTGCGCCGTAATTCAGGATAAAATTAAGCACATGAAACAGACACAGTGTTTGAAAACAGGGTATCAAACGCTAAACTCTCTTGTGCCAAGTCTAAGATGAGGTTTTAAAAAAAAAGGGGGGGGGGATTGGGGAAATTGCAAAAGAAATGTAAAAACAGATTGACCACCTGTGAACAAATCTTTGTCACTAGCTCCAAACCATCCCTTCCTAACATAGCTCTATACTTAAGAGCGCCTTCAAAGATGGGCGGCTAAGGCGTGACATCCAGGCCGCTGTGGCTGCGGTCGGTAGTGATGTCTTATTGTCCAATGGAGTTGGTTGGTCATTTTTATGTTAAGCTACTTGACGAGGCTGTGTACAAAAGGCTCAAGGTAATCTAATGTAGCAGGTAGGGTACTAAAAAAAAAAAATGGAACGAACTGCCTCTTATTCCTATTTGTGAAATTAGAATTGACCCGTACCAGTACAGTTAGTTGATAGAATAGTCCCGTACCTGTACAGTTTGTTGATTGAATAGTCCCATATCGGTACAGTTTGTTGATAGAATAGTCCCGTACCGGTACAGTTAGTTGATAGAATAGTCCCGCACCGGTACAGTTAGTTGATAGGGTAGTCCCGTACCTGTACAGTTAGTTGACAGAATAGTCCCGTACCGGTACAGTTTGTTGATAGAATAGTCCCGTACCGGTACAGTTTGTTGATAGAATAGTCCCATACCGGTACAGTTAGTTGATAGAATATTCCCGTACTGGTACAGTTAGTTGATAGAATAGTCCCACACCGTTACAGTTAAGTTGATAGTATAGTCCCGTACGGTACAGTTTGTTGATAGAATTGTCCCGCACCGGTAGAGTTATATGATAGAATAGTCCCACACCGGTACAGTTTGTTGATAGAATAGTCCCGTACCGGTACAGTTTGTAATTTGTAGATACCAGAAATTATTATTTTTAATTTCTTGCCCGCCCTCCACAAAGATCAATTCTTCTTGAACCACAAAGGCTGGCTTATCTGTGTGCTCACGAAATACGACCATGGATTCCATCATTATCCAGGGAAATGTTTCATTAAAAGAATATCTTGTTTAAAGCTCGTGAAAATATAACAATCCACCATCTCTATCAGTTATTTAGAGACAGCAACGGTTCTGTTGTTGGGAGACATCAGTGAAGAATTTAGTTTAGTAAAATGTCTATTAAATTAAGTGCCGGTAGGATACCAATAAAAGAATATTAGAGGGAGATAACAAGTATAAATGTCGTCTCTAAATTTCTTAATATTACATCCCCTGAATTCTTGATCAATAATAATTAAACTCTTAGTGATTCACAATTGTAGATTTTTATTATTTTACTCACACTTTTCATAGAGACCTTATGAAAGTAGAAAACATCTTAAAGAGACACCGTTAGTGGTTAAGTTTTAAAATACAGAAAGTTATTTTTATCTGAAAAGAGAATGGGAGTGGGAGAGAAGTGGGAAGGGGGGGGGTGGGGGTTAGAGAGGTTGTAAGTTCAATGATAGAAAGGGTGGATTGGTAGGGCAATGATAGAGATGGTGGATTGTTAGGGCATTGATAGAGATGGTGGATTAATCTCTTAAAGAACTGATTTCTAAACACGTATCCTTACAGAAGCTGCGCTCTTAACACAGGCCTTACTGAGAGTTCCCAGTGTGGATGGGCAAAGAAAGAAGTCATACGGAGTGCGGCTCTTTTGTCAGGGCAATGATAGAGAGGGTGGATTGTTAGGGCAATGATGGAGATGGTGGATTGTTAGGGCAATGATAGAGATGGTGGATTGTTAGGGCAATGATAGAGAGGGTGGATTGTTAGGGCAATTATGGAGATGGTGGATTGTTAGGGGAATGATAGAGATGGTAGATTGTTAGGACAATGATAGAGATGGTGTATTGTTAGGGAAATGATAGAGATGGTGGATTGTTAGGGCAATGATAGAGATGGTAGATTGTTAGGACAATGATGGAGATGGTGGATTGTTAGGGAAATGATATAGAGGGTGAATTGTTAGGGCAATGATAGAGATGGTGGATTGTTAGGGCAATGATGGAGATGGTGAATTGTTAGGGCAATGATAGAGATGGTGGATTGTTAGGGAAATGATATAGAGGGTGAATTGTTAGGGCAATGATAGAGATGGTGGATTGTCAGGGCAATGATAGAGGGTGAATTGTTAGGGGAATGATAGAGATGGTGGATTGTTAGGGCAATGATAGAGATGATGGATTGTTAGGGGAATGATAGAGATGGTAGATTGTTAGGACAATGATAGAGATGGTGTATTGTTAGGGAAATGATAGAGATGGTGGATTGTTAGGGCAATGATAGAGAGGGTTAGTTTTCAGGGCAATGATAGAGATGCTGGATTGTTAGAGCAATGATAGAGATGGTGGATTGTTAGGGCAATGATAGAGATGGTGGATTGTTAGGGTAATGATAGATGTGGTGGAATTTTAGGTTTATGATAGAGATGGTGGATTGTTAGGGCAATGATAGAGATGGTGGATTGTTAGGACACTGATAGAGATGGCAAATTGTTAGGGCAATGATGGAGATGGTGGATTGTTAGGGCAATGATAGAGAGGGTGAATTGTTAGGGCAATGATAGAGATGGTGGATTGTTAGGGAAATGATATAGAGGGTGAATTGTTAGGGCAATGATAGAGATGGTGGATTTTTAGGGCAATTATAGAGATGGTGGATTGTTAGGGCAATGATAGAGCTGGTGGATTGTTAGGGCAATGATAGAGATGGTGGATTGTTAGGGCAATGATAGAGATGGTGGATTGTTAGGACAATGATAGAGATGGTGAATTGTTAGGGCAATGATAAAGATGGTGGATTGTTAGGGCAATGATAGAGATGGTGGATTGTTAGGACAATGATAGAGATGGTGGATTGTTAGGGAGATCAGGAGACTTGATGTATAGCGTTAATGAAAGAGGTAAAGAGGAGAAAATAAAAACAGATAGGAGTAAAAAGGAGGCAACTGAGAAGTACGTTTAGAAGGTAATAAAGATAGATGATAGTAAGGAAAACTTGAACAGATAGAACAGATGTGTCCCTTAGCAAATAATACCCTTCATCCCAACAGTTGAATGAATCAACTTTTACTTCTATTCCCAAATTCCCAACTGTTTTGTTAAGATACACTTTATCCCAGTTGCCCTGATATTAAAATAACCATTGTCTCATTTAGGTGTCTCATCCTTAAAAATCCTAGCTGTTGTCAGGCTAACTTAACATAATCCAGTTAGTTGCTCGCTGTCCATTTTATTATAACATAATAATAATAATAATAAAGTTCATTTCAAAAACACGCTTCATCCCCAAAGGCTCGAAGCGCAGTACAAAGTCAACAAAAAACATATCTATAATTTACCACATTTAAAACAAACGCAGCACTAAAAAAACTAATTACAAGCAACAATCTCAAAGTCTTTCTAGCCATTTCAACCCGGAGCAACACAGCCATTATGCATTAACTGGAAAATAAGGAGACAATCATCCCAGAAGGTATTTTCGAAATAGATGTGTCTTTAGATCGGTTTTAAAGGACTCCAGTGTCTGGTTGTTTCTGAGATCGACAGGAAGGGCGTTCCAAATTGTTGGACCAGCAAATGCGAAAGTGCGCTTTCCGTAAGTCTCAAGGCAAACACGTGGTGTTGAGAGTTTGCCACTATCGGATGAGCGGAGCTCTCTAGTGGGTACATAAGGCGTCAGCAGCTCTTTCAGATAGGACGGCGCCAGGTCATGTAAGCAGCAGTAGCACAAAGTTGCGATTTTGTACTCTATGCGAGCACACACCAGCAGCCAATGCAACTCTCTCAGAAGTGTTTTTGCATGGTCGAATTTGCGTTTGCGGAGAACTATGCGAGCCGCATTATTCTGTGCTATTTGAATTTTATCCAAGAGCGTAGCTGGAAGACCCACCATGAGAGCATTGCAATAGTCCATGCTTGATAGCACAAATGCAGACATCATACCAGAAGATACACTTTATCCCAGTTGCCCTGATGTTAAAATAACCATTGTCTCATTTAGGTGTCTCATTCTTAAAAATCCTAGCTGTTGTCAGGCTAACTTAACATAATCCAGTTAGTTGCTCGCTGTCCATTTTATTATAACATACCAGATGAAATGTCTAAAAGTAGTCATACACTAAACTGAGAAACAATAATATCACTACCAATGGGTTATAATCAAAGGGAGGTTAGCCAACTCATGACATACAGTGACATAAGATTAAAATAAGGTTACATTGCAGATCATTGGAGATAGACATGGCATTAAAATAACACAAAAGGCCAAGTTCATAGATTATTCCACTTTATTTTCACATGAATCAGATCTGTGAAATGTGCAAATTATCATGATCTACTTCAGATATTTTTCCGAGGAGATTTCTTTATGGTCATGAAAATGTGTACTGCACTGGTTAAGTTAAAAAATATTTTCAAATCAGATATTTGGAGTTTCAAATATAGATAATTTATATAGTTAAACAGCAATGATATTTTTTAAAATTAAGACACATTTCTAAGATATTTTAAGAAATGATTTGATTTTATAAGAAAACGTGCCCGACAGTGACAGGCATAATAAAACATAGGTACCCGGTATATATTAATGAAGTACAACAGTTTTAATACTTGCCTCTTCAAATGCCAAAGCTACCATTTAATAAACTTAAAATAAGAGAAATAACTTTAAATGCAGTCCAGTTTTATGAAATCTTTCAAGAGGATTTATGAATTAAAATATTCATGTTTCACACATTCTTTTTACTATTTCAATTTGTAGACAGGCAAATGAGTTCCTATACGGTAACAAAAAAAATACATAGTTCTTTTAACAAATGTAGGACATGTAATTCTTTCAAAGACTTATGTATTCATGTAAGAATATAATGCATGTGGCTTTGAGCCTGCCTCATGAAGTATGTCATGTTTAAATATGTTTTGCATAAATGTGGTTTGATCAACAAGGAAACTTACACTTTTTATAAAAACTACATTAAAGATAATTCACAAACTTTTAACTCAGTTTAAGCAGTTAACAAATCACAAGGCACAATAAAGCTTTGATGTTGATCCTCAGGGTTGTCTAACTTAACTGAGATCCTGTTAGACATCTTTCTCTTTAACACTACCAGCATTGGCGCAAAGAGTAATGGCATCAGAGATGATATCAAACTCACAGACAACAAATTATGCTCATACAGTAGCTTGCCGGGGGTTTTGTTATCCCCAAAGTGCATCTTGCTTTGTGTTTTATTACTAGTATTAGCACCTTGGAGTCACTTTTCGGGTGTTTATTATCCATCTGAAGAACCAGCCCCATGGAATACCTTGAAGGGTAATGCATTAGCCACTTTAGAGTAACTTGCCAGATGTTAGCCATGAAGTATGTTATCAGATGTTGTGTAGTCTACATTACATGTTATGTAAGTCTGATCACCTGACACAACTACCTGCCCACCCACATAGCCATCACCACTAACCGGAGGAGCAAAAAGTGACAAGGTGCCATCCATCATGTCCGCGCCACCGTCCCCTTCCACAGTGACCATTTCATTAGCTGACACAATCAAGCTGTGGTTCCCTATGACCATCACAGACTCCTCCTTGGAGTTCCTCCCCACCAATGGATTGCCTGTGTTACACTGACCACTCATCAAGAGATCCCCTTCATGGTGACCCATCATTCCATTTTGGTCAGTCCCGTTACCATTCTCATCAGATAACATGATCATCCCTGTGTCTTCCAGATCTGCTTTGACAGATATCCTGCCCCCATCTCCCATCATGTGAGTACCATCTGAAACTGTAATGTAACTTCCACCCGAGCTGTCCAGTCCGTCAGCCTGGAGGTGGCCTTGAGTGCAAGTGATGATAGCATTAGATCCATCGGTTGTAAGTACCTGAGTGCCTGAGCCGTCTCCTGTGGTCATGTTGAAAGACCGAGCCTCAATAATAGCGATGGGCTGTATCCCCATACCTCCTGGCCCACTCGCAAAGATTTGCCCCCCAGAAACTGCAGGTATAAATGCTGTCTGAATGGTCGGTCCACTGCCGTCTACTGATTCAGTCAGGTGCACCACATAGTGATCCACAAGTTCACCATTGCGACCAAGACTGATCTGCTGGACATGGTGGCCCAGAGAGGAGCTCACATCATTCTTGCCACCATTAAGGCCAGGAATATGTACGCTCATGTTTCCTGCCCCGTCCATGTCAATCACACCTTTACCTGAATTTGTCATCAGAGGCAGAGCTTTAACAACTTCTACAGAGAGTGTGTTTGGCTCCTTACAAGCCTCTCTTTCCTTGGGTGATTCTGCCTTGGCAAACAATTTCTGCTGCTGCAACTGTTGTTTTACAGACAAGGTCTGCCCTGTGGCACTTGGATACTGCATGATTTTACTTTTTAACCTTGTTCGAGATGTGTATTGCTTTCCTCTGGTTTTGGACACTGAGTCAGGTGCAATACTGATCATCCTCTTCCGTGGTCGACCAATCTTCCTTCTGTTTCTAGGACGGAATTGCTGATCAGGGCCTGATTTGGAAGGCTGACATTTGTGTTCATTAAATAATTTTGGTCTGAAAAACCCCTTCCCACACTTGTCACATTTGAACCTGTAATCAGAGTTGTGGCCCCTCTCATGCTCCATTAAATGAGGCCGCCTTGAGAAGCCCTTCCCACATATACTACACTTGTAAGGTTTGATACCACTGTGTGTGATGATATGTGCCTTCAGCTTATCAGGACGATTGAATTCTTTTGTGCAAGCTGAAAGTAAGAAATGATTGCTTTTAACAGCTGAACCAAAACATGACAGATTTCTAAACAGTTCTTTCAACTATAACCAAGTTTAATAATACAGGTCAAAAGTGTCATAAAGTATATATTTTAACTTTGATTGTTGCTATTATAAATAAAATTAACAGTCAAATAATCTAAAAGCCGGTCATTTCACATAAAAATTATACACATAGGCAGACCTGTTTACTCTTACGATTTTGGCGTACAATGTATGATTTTGAGGTTTATACATTATATATACTTTATGTTTATTTTTTTTACTATTAAGATATTCAACAATTTTGTCATGATATTGTACAATTTTAAGAGTTTGAGGGTAAACAGGTCTGCATAGGAATAATTCTTAAAATAAGCACATTGAAAAAATTTTAGTTTGTAAAACTTTGCGACTGAAAAAAAAAAACCTGAAGAAAATCAATTTGAACTATAAATTTTTCTTTTGACTCCCTGATTTCTTGCTCACTACAAAAGTATCATAGCATTGGAGGGAAATTGAAAAAGAAAAACATTGATGCTGTTAGTGTTAAAAAGGGATCATATGAAGTCTATAGGAGCCAGAATGATCAAGAAATTGATTGTGGTCACTTTATATAAAGAAGAAGTCTCTGAATAGCTTACAATGAAATAAAAAGGGTAGCTATAATAACTGGACTTGAAAGTTTTCAACCCATAAATGCTAAAGCAAAGGTTTAACTTTGAGAAAAGAATGATTGATTCTGCTACAGAAATCTATTTTGAAAATCAATCTTTTTTTTAAAAAATGATACTGAAAATCATTTAAGAATGTGTACCTGCAATATTCCTGAATGGACATCTATATTTCTTGATGGAGTCGTGGATGGTCAAATGTCGTTTCAATTTGTCCTTGCGATTGAAAGCTGCCTGACAAATGTCACAGGCATAAGGAGTTTCTCCGGTGTGTATTAGCTTGTGGGACTTTAAGTAATGCTCTGTCTTGAACCTTTTCTTACATTCCTGACATTCAAACTGACCTGAAATTAAAGCCAAATTTAGTTCTCTTGTGTTAACAGAAAATGTGTTTACAGGGGAAAATGTGTTTATCATGATATGAATAGACGTTTCAATATTCCTTTTCTAGCGAAGTCAGGCTTTTAAAAATCTTTTACACTTTTAAGTAACAATTATCTATAATAGATGTTTTTTATAGCAGATAATAAAATGTCTATCAACCCTTTCACTGCAACCAGTATATCATTACCTAACACATCATCATTTTTAGCTTAATTCATACCCCTGAATGACAAAGACAGTTTTATTCACTGCACTCTTTTATAAGCATTAAACTCACAATCCCCATATTCAGCATTAAGCAAAAATTAACCCTGAGTAAATAAATCACAATTATCATGCTAGTTGAATAAAGGTATATTTAACACAATTTATGTCCTCTATTCCACTATTGGAGCATTTCTAACTGGGAACTTTTAACTTATCTTTATGAAATAATTTATTATCAATTATCTCTATTATCAATTATCAGCAATACTATTTTTGCTAGCCTAATGAAATCTGTTTTCTTTTAAGTTAGAGGTCAAATTTTAAAATATTGTATTCATGCATGCCCAGTAATTGCCATTAGCAGACCTGTTTACCCTCAAACTCCTAAAATCGTACAATATCGTCTCAAAATCGTACAATACAGTATCTTAATAGTAAAAAAATAAATATACAGTATATATATATAGTATTTTCAGTAACTACTGGTATAGCGTGTTCAGTGGCATCCAGTTCAGCGGTTTGTCAAAAAATGGAACTGAAGGTAATCAGTATTCGACTGACGTTAACTGTAAACTGCGGTAACTTTATTTTGAAGACCTGCATCTGCTATAGATACCTCCATGTTTGTGACCTACATGTTTGTGACCTACATAAACGATATATTTATTTTTATCCCACCCTTTATTTTATTTGTGTATTCCCTATTTCGAAGTGTACTTGTAAGAATTTCATCCAGGAAACCCTGGCGAAAACCTAATATGACATATGCGCCAGGAAACAAAATTATAATAACCACTGGCGTAGCCCAACGAAATATGCGTCACACGCGCTCACACGCGCGCTGAACACTCATGACTAAACACAACTGTAACTTCTCTCCCAAAGCTAGCGAGTTTATTGTTGACAATACATCTTGACAACATCACCGCAATAATTCCTACAAAACATTGGGTGGTATTGTACAGCATTCGAGATATAAATAGAATGCTATTTTTGGACTTTCAGAGTTAGGGGATGAATATTGTAGACTTTTTAAATAACGTACGTTCTTTCTGCCGAGGAACAGCCCCCCCCCCCCCCTGTCATTACGGAAATGTCGCGGTGTTGATTGTATAGATTTAAGTATTTAGACCAACGCCAAACCCAAAATTTCCTAAATCAACACCACTCCTTTTGTCCCTGATAGATTGTTCATGAAAAGTGCAGTGCGCGCATGATGGACCATTCGACAAAGAACGCAACCCAGTCAATTTTGTCTGATATTCAAGCAAGACTATCTGCTGATAAACTTTCTTTTTCTGTTGTTGAATCGGATGTTTATCGGTAGAAAGAGAAGTTTCTTCTTCATCACCCATTCCGCGAGCCTTTCTTTTTGTCGAGGTCATATCGTAAAATACTAAGTGAGGTCAACTACGGAACCGAAAACAAGAATGATGGCCGATTCCATTAATGATAATGGTAACATTAAAATCACGCAATGTGCACATAGGTCAATGCAGCCAAATTCTAGCGCCAGAGCTGTTTGGACAAACCATATATAACATTTAAAATAAAAATGAAAAAGTGAACAATGATGCATACCTCGCCCCCCAGCCGCACGCCCTGCCAACTTAAAGGGCCATCCAAATATGACTTACTCGCTGAGGATGCGTGTAAGTTTTGATTGGGTTGGGGGGGGGGGGACCAGAATGCACCTACATGTATGCATAAATTCTACAATAATTATCCTGATTCCTGACAGTCATAGAGCCAACTGTCATATGAAAATAAATCTGTGAAATCCACGAATTCTAATTAGGTCTATTATTATTATTATTAAGGCTATACAAATATCACCACAATGCTTCGCATTTATCGTATACCGTATACTAGTGCTTTGTGTTTTCATAAAGAGGTCGCTGTAGTAGTCATATTGAACACGACATAGTGACAACACACTGTAGTCTACTAACACGTATTTCCGTGCTGGTGACGAACCCACCTTCCCCCACCCTCATTAATAGGAAAAACATAGTGCCCTCGCCTATCCAATATGTCCCTGAGTTTTTACGTTCACATACTATAGAGCAGTGGTCAGCAAACTCATTGGTCAAAAGAGCCCAAATCAGCAGCAGGACCATTAAACAAATTTTGCGAGCCAAATTTATTTTCAAGAACCTGTCAAGGACCATGTTTTTCGGAGTAAAAACCGCTTTGTAGTTGACTGGCCGAGCCGCAGTCTGGACGAGCCGCGGCTTGCCGACCACTGCTATAGTATCAGAGACCAATAACTACCACAAGCTGTAAACAAAAATGGGGGGGGGGGCGCAGTAGTAGCAGTAGTGATACAAAACTGTTTTATTGTATTAAAATCGTTGAGGGGATAGAGTCAGAGGCGTAGCGAGGGTGTCCCCCCCTGCCCACCCCCCTCGCTATGCCTCTGGATAGAGCTGCTCTGCGAGATCTAAAATATTTTTTTTAATGCCACTGACTAAATCTTACACCTCTAGTTTTCTCTCTTCACAATCGCCGAGGTTCAGACGAACACATGCTTGCTAGCAGTAGCAGTCCAATGAGGTGGTGAGTGAAGTTGTTGCCAGGCGACTAGCCTAAAGATTGCTGCTGACACAGCTAGCTAGTTCACTGTGACACGCAAAGCAACACTAAGACCATCACCACCATCAATAGGATGCGTTGCGGTGATATTTTTATATCTTTTGAAACTCCCACCTATCCCCCCCCCCAACCCGTGTTTCTGGTATGCCACCAATCTCTTTAATCAACAACCGCCACCTCCCCTTTCAGTGCGTACATAATATAATGAAGGATGGTCCCAACTATAAATATATATATATATATACAAAAACCCATCGTTTTTCTGGGTCCATTCAATGCGGGGCCATAAGGGCTAAAGCTTCCACAACCGAATTTTTTTTTTTTTTTTTTTAATCGGACAAAATTACACAAATATTTTTTCACCGGGTCTCTGAAAATCGTAGTTTTGGCGGGTCTCGGCGTACAATCGTAAAAGACATCTAAAAATCGTACATTGTACGCCAAAATCGTAAGAGTAAACAGGTCTGCATTAGACATGTTAAAAGAAAATATATAAAAGCTTTAAAATATGACTTATAACTTGCAGCATACATAAGTAAAGGGAATAAATGATCGGGCTCCAAATATGACATTTGCAATGTGGCCGAGCAACAACATGTGTACTTATGTAAGATCAAACACAGATTACTTCATACAGGTATCCAAATTTCAAATACAACTTTTCTTTATACATCTTAAAATATGCAGCAATCGCTAAGTTTTGGTAAGATATAATGATTTAATTTTACTGCAGCTATGGCAAGGCCGCATAGCAATAAACCTACAGACTGCTCTCTAATATCATCAAGTCTTGATCACCTTCAGAGCCATGGATTGGCAAATGTCTGCGCAAGAACCTCTCACATGTAAACTGTTTACTACAGTGAGGACACTTGTAATCATGGCTGGTGGTGGACATGTGGTGCTCCAGGGCCTCGGGGGTCGTGTATTTATTACCACATTTAGTGCACTGAAAGTGTCTGAAAGTGAGACAGCATTTGCATTCTGTTTTATTTCAATGTCTAACAATAAATAAATAAATAAATACATGAAAAATATTATGTGCTTATATTTTATATCTGGTCATTTGTATTGTTATTTAATGCTCTAAAAAATATTGTTGCAGCGTTTTTTCTCAAATAATTTTTAGACGTCAAGAGGGAAACAAATATCCCTTTTCACTCTTGAGATCAACCCTAATGAATCAAAATAAAAAGCTGTTTTTTTAATAATGAAGTCCCAATAAAACATTTCTTATTGTTATAGATGTGATACTAAGCTATCACAATCCCACCTAAGGCTTGACTTGACTCCTTGGTTCATATAGATATGTGAGTATTGGTGAACGCCCAGGTCATACAGTGTCTTGAAGTACTTATGGCACTGATGGCAGCGGTAGCTCATTTCATTCTCATGAGATTTCACATGTTCCAGGAAAGTGTCAAGGTCTTGGAAAGACTCTCCACATTTTTTCATCACACACTTGTAAACCTAAGTTTACATGGGACAGAGAGGGCAGTAAATAAAAATAGTACCTGCATGTATTCAAGTATTTAAGTATACACTTTTAAATTGATGTCTTAAAATTCATATGCTTACTTTAAAATTCCACCTCTTCTTATGCTAGTCAAACTTACCTGTTCACTTTTGTGGTGGACTAGATGTGTCTTTAACTGGTAGTAGGTTTTGAATTTGGCTGGACAGTACTGGCAGATATAGGAGTTATCTACAAGAACTTTGACCTTAGGACCATCATCATCTGTGTCTTCTTGCAAGCTTGTCTTTAACTCACTGAGCTGTAACCAAATAAACAGATAAAAATAAAATAACAGTATAACAATTATTGTCATGGTGCCATGTCAACTTGGTTTACTTGGGTAATGCAGTAAAAAATTCACCTGATGCACAGCTGACTTTAACAGCCTCTGGGTTTCATGGTTGACAGTTGCTGTGGAGGTGGCCACTGAGACGGGCTGGCAGATGGGTTCTGACACTGTTACAATTGTTGAGGATGATGATGATGAAATCAGGTCTTTCTCCTCTGGCAACGTGTCAGGTTGTTTGGGTAAAGTATTGGAGGTACCAGATGGCCAAACCTGAAAGAAAACTCACTAAAATAACCATGGACTCTTTTTAAATCAGGTTATGAAAGCTCCCAAGTCCTACACATAACCAGTACATTAGTTAACATCTAGTAATTGAATTATTAGCCCGCAAATTAAATTAGGACGATCGCCAACAGATCTGACCAGGACCAGCTACAACAGGATCTCAATCTGTTAGCTGAGTGGGAGATGAGCTGGGACATGGAATTTCACCCTGCCAAGTGCCAGACACTATCAGTCTCTAGAAGTTGTACTCCTCTACACTACCAATACGAACTGCACGGCCATATACTTGAGCAAGTTTCCTCCGTAAAGTACCTGGGTGTTACCATTCAAAGAGAGGTCCGCTGGGACGAGCATATTAACAATGTATGTAACCAAGCAAACAAGACCCTAGGGTTCTTAAGGCGAAATCTAAAGATTGGCAACTCCTGTGTGAAAGAAAGAGCATATAAAGCCTTTATCCGTCCGATTTTAGATTATGCATCTTCAGTCTGGGACCCATTTACCCAGAAGAGCATTGACAGGTTGGAGGCGGTCCAGCGACGAGCAGCACGCTTTGTCCTAAACCGCTACAGGAATACCTCTAGTGTTGGCAGCATGCTAGAAACACTAGGCTGGTCACCATTGGAGAAACGACGACGACAATCCAGGCTCTCCATGATGTACAAGATAAATAATGGGCTGGTCCACTGTTCCAGTATTAAACAGAAACTCGTACCTCTCCCCCATAGACAGCGACGAGGCCATGACAGACAATTCAGGCTCATACCAGCAAGAAGCCAGTATAGGAGCTGCTCATTCCTGCCCAAGACAATCAGGGACTGGAACAATCTTTCAAAAGGAACGGTTGAGGCGACAACACTAGACACATTTGTGTCTATTGCCTCAAGCCTTCAAACCCCTAGTGCATGATTTCCTCATCAACACCAGTAACAGAAACATTGCAAATCCAATCTATATGCATAGGAGCCAAAATGATCAATAAATTGATCGTGGGCCCTTAAGATATAGAAGAAGAAGAAATTATTTCCCATTAAATGAATTATTACACAATTAATAAATTAAATAAATTAGTCCAGGAATATGGTGATGTTTTTTGCCTATTTCTAAATAAAATATTTAAATTAAATATATAAGCACTGACTAAATAGATGATGTCGATTGAGCAGATGTTGACTGAGCAGTTTCAAACTAAGCTAAAATGCAAATGAATACAAGTCATATTGTGGACTACAGGTTACTCACAAAATTTAAATGGTTAGAACTATAGACCTCCCATAGAGATCAATATTAGTGACCAAACACATATGCAGCTTCTCACCTTATGAGTGGCCATATGTTTCTTCACATTAGACTTTTGAGCAAAAGCTCTCCCACAAACAATGCACTGGAAGGGCTTTTCCCCTGTGTGGGCCCTCACGTGTTGTTGCAGGTCAAAGTTCTTGGTAAACTGCTTGCTACAGAATTCACACTGTTGACAAAATCAAAGACATTGAAATCAAATTTTTTTAAAAACTATTCATATCAGGGGAAGGCAACTTTTTTGGGCCACATGGAAAATAATTTTTTTGGCTGGCTACATAATATTCTAGGAAAGTAAAGTTCTAGAAAATAAATTTAAATTTACTTTGCGCACATGCTGAGAAGTAATTTTTAGGCTTTCTGCGACTATTATTATTATAGCTTGACAATTTTACACTGTAATTATCAATTTTCAAAGGCTTTTAAAAAATAATCTTTCACAATTCTTACATTTCACAAAATCATTCTCTAGTTTAATTTAAAAAAAAAAAATGACATTAAAATAATTACACAAATGATCAAAGTATTGTGTTCCACCTGTAGCTTGGGTTTAGCATTTGCCTCCTCCTCAGATGTTTCTGCACTGTTCTTTGCATTGCGCGCTGTCTTTCCCTTTCTCGTACTTAGAAGATTGTCAGGGTTGAGAACAGAAATAAAATTATTTTGTGCAGACTTTCTACCTGAAATACAAAATAGCACTTTAAAAAAATGATACAATCTGTGGACATCTTACATATGTTGTTCCAACTGCTCCCAGATGATACAGCTAGGCTTTAACTAATAATTTGTACAATATTTTCCATATCAAACATTATTCAACTAAGAAATAAAATAAGGTTTCCAAGTTTTGGTGGGAAAAAAACAAAAAGATTAAAACCAGTTGTGATCAATTTAAAACATATTGTTACGAAAATTGGTTCACTCACCAGCTTTCGTGGGACTAGGTTTAAATACTTGAGGTTGGATTTGCTGTAGAGGTTGGGATATGGTTATGGTGGCAGGTGGTTGGGGAGCAGGGGGAGGCCTCACTTGGGCCATGTGCGGCAGAGGTTGATGAGGTTGTGCTTGTAGAGTATGTTGCTGAAGGGTTTTGTCTGTGAAGGTTGTCAGGGTAATGTGCTGAGCGGGCTGAACTAGTAGTTGACTGGAAGGCCCACCAGTTGTTGTGTAACTGTTGGCTGTGCCAGCAAGGCTGGTGATAGGACTGAAGATGGTCACGCCGTTGGAACTGTTTGCAGTTTGACCATGCACTGGTCCAGTGACCTGGAAATTTGCAGAAAAAGATTTATTATTATTATAAATAAATGTTTTAAACAGATCAGAATTAATATTTTAACATAAATAAAAATAATTGAGAGGTTAATGCATAAAACAAAAATTTATAGCATCCCTTCTAACTGAAAGTATTTCAGCTGTTAGCGTCAACAGTAATTAATTTATTGCAGGAATAGATAATGGAAATAAAAGTGATGTTGATATTGAATTAGTTCAAAATCTTGACATCATAGATGGGTCAGTAGATGAAGATGACAGATTTGACCGGTGTTTCAATTACATTCAATTGACATTAAAGAATTTGTATGTGCAACTGGTCTTAATGTAGACTTAGTTTCATTAAAATTTCATCTTTTCTCTACAATCATAAGTAATTTTTTGGTAAAAGTGCAGTTCAGGTGCGTATATTATTTCTGTTTGAATCTCTTATTTTATGTTAATTCTTTATAAAAAGCATTTTAAAAGTTATATACCATCTTTTTATTGGAATACAACAACAATTAAACACATTTCACTAGATAAAAAATGTACATTTTTATGAATCTTTTGTGTTTTAAGGAGCCGTTGTGGTAAATCAAGGATAACTCTTCTGTCCTTAAAGATACTTTATAAAAGTTGCCCAATTGGATGAATCTAGTTAAAATAAATGATGTATTTATTTTATAACTTTACTATCAACTATAACCGGAGTTGTCCGGGGCTGCATTAAGAAAAAAAAAATCTGCTACGTCCTTTTAGTTCACATTGCTATTAAACGAAATGTCAACAACAAAACAATAGTAAAAAAAATAATAATAATTAATTTGTCTCCTATAAAAACACTTAAAATAACTTATGTAAACCTTTCGTTTTTCCAATGGCAATGGCACCCGGAAGGATCATGATGGGATCCCAAACCCGATGTGATTACGATAGAATCCTGGTCATGGTGGGATCCCGATCCCGGTAAGATACCGATCCCGGTGAGATCCGTTTCCGGTGGTATCCCAAACCAAATGAGATCCCAATCCGGTGGGATCCCGTTTCGGTGAGATTCTGATCCCGGTGGGATCCCGATCCGGTGGGATCCCGATCCAGTGGGTTACCGATCCCGGTGGGATACCGGTTACGGTGAGATCCCGTTTCGGGTGAGATCCCGTTTTGGGTGATATGCAGATCCCGGTAATTATAGGGAGCTCACATACTTGACATACGAACCCAGCTTACAAGCCACATTGCAATTGTTACTAGCACCTTAGGAGAAATTCCAGTTGTATTAATGCTATTTGTTGCCCCACAAGGTGCGCGTTTAAACCAAATGCTGCACCATTAAAAATGCCTGTTGCATCAAAACTGTTAGTTATTGTTTCTTGGTAGTCCTGCCATTTTAAACAAAATGATCCTACAACCAGCAATACCACAAAGCCAAAACGAGTCCGTCTTATAATATAAAAAAAATAATCACTAGCCCTCACTTTACTCAGCGCAAATCAGTCACCATTAATAAGTACATTTGCATACGAAAAAAGAGGAGGGGTACTCAAATTAGAGCTGACCAATCACGGACAGCGTATTAGCAGCCTTCAAAATGACCCCACGCTATCATTCCGATTTCCCCCATTTGTGCAACGTCACAAATATATTTTTTTTAAAGTGGACACGTGATCACATATTGGCACGTATTCGTGCACCCCTCCCCCCTTTTTTTTCCCCAGCTTCCCTTCAGGTCCAGAACAATGATGACGTGTGTGTCCACTGCCTTAGTCAGTGATCCACTTCAAATCCCCCCCCCCGACCAAACTTCAAAGGACAACCCCTATATTCCGAGCGCTCTGAGAGGAAAAAAAAGAAAAAGGGGGGGGGGGGAGGAAAAAAAAAAGGGGGGGGGGGTATGCGTAATGAAAAATCTAGTATTTCATTCTTTTTTGTGAACTTGCTTACAGTTTGAAAATTTCGTTTAGCATACTAACTTATAGGTGGCTAAAAATCTGACATAGGGTGAAAAGAAAAATACAAACAAATGGGGCTGTGTCACTTTGGTTGGGGGATGGTTAAAGACTCTTTAGAAGTAAAAGAAAAAGAAAAGATGCGTCTTATAATTCAGAATTAGTTAACTATAACTGCCTGTATTTAATTATTAAAGAATACATGTAAGTTTACATGATAAAAAAAAATTAAAATGCGAAATGCCTTAAGAAATAATATACGCACCTGAACTGCACTTTTACCAATTTTGTTTAATGCCTAGCTGAAAGTCAACAAGCTAATGATCAAAATGGAGTTATTTCCCCTTGTTTGGTGCCAGAGGTAGTTTCTGGATGCTACGCTACTGAAATTGTTAATATACAAATTTTAAAAAATAAATACCAACCATTTGAATAGTTTGTCCCCCAAGACTTCCAGGATCCAAGCTAGTCAGACTCATGAGATCATCAGTGAACAGCATGTTTTGTGAGAGGTGTGACAATGGAGAAGGAGAAACACCACTCAGCGTTAATGTTGCCTGTTAAAAATGGATTATTCCTAAAATAATTACAGCAGTCACACACAAATTTATACTTTTTTTATTGTTTTAAAAAATCCATCTATATCAGTTAAAATTAAAAGTTTGGTAACGTAACAGCTTACGAACATTATTATGAAATAAAACATTTTTTTTTTTTACCATTAAAAAATAGATTATATGAGCAAGATTGGACCAATAATTTCTTCACATCTCCTTGTATACACTCAGCCTCAAATAGTTGGTTTTAACTTGAAAGATATTTTTAAACCATTAAAATATGATATGAGAGACTTACAGTGTTTGACGGCTGATTTAATGTTCTTGTCAAACATGGATGGGCCTGAAGTATAGGAGCATTTGTATTTATCTGAAATGAATCATGGGCAAAATTAAAAATTATGGCGCAGAAAAAAAAGGTGATAGAAGTCCTAATGACGTTTTACAGACACAAAAATGTTAACAGACCTGGGTTACACAGGAACTCCCAAAATGGTACAATTACAGTCTCAGAATAGTAATTTACCATCTCAAAATCATACAATACCCTACTGTAATAACAAATAAATAAACAAACAGTGCATTATTGCAAATAAAAAGGTGCCCGTTAATTTTTAAGTTCTGCGGTAAGTATAAAATTAAATTATTCTGAACTGAAAATTGTAAGAATTGTTAAATTTTGTAGTAAGATATTCTTCATATTTCAATCTCAGTTCTATCATTTAGTATTTATTTCAGCTGATCAAAGATGATAATTAGTTGTTAGCGATAGATGGGATTTTTCATAAGCTTTTTCCTTTATGTAAAAGTCTTTGTTTTAATATTCAGCTCCTGGACATATACATGATGGCTTAATTAATTAAATATAAAAAATTTGAAACAAACAAACTTTTGATGATTAAAGCGTTTCTCAGTTTGTAGTATAATAAAAGTAACTATGTAAAAAAAAAAAAAAATTATTGATTTTTTTGTTTTTAGCAATCAGCCTTTCCTAAAACAAGATGATCTTATAGAAAATCATACAAAATATAAAATTGAGCATTACACTACCATAAAAATTTTGTATTTAAAAACTTCATATGATATTAACTGAAATCATGTTATGAGCTAATCAATTCTGTTTACTTACTGTGGACACTTGCCCACTGAGATGGGCATGAGAAAATGGACGGTTCAAATTTATGGCGGAGGCAAAAGCACTGGGGCTTGCACCAAGAGTAACCTGCTGAGTATGCTGTCTCTGCTGAAGTTGTATCTGTTGTTGTATCTGCTGCTGTTGTAATTGCTGCTGTTGCTGTAACTGATGTTGCTGCAACTGCTGCTGTTGCAGCTGCTGCTGCTGTAATGTCTGTTGTAGAGCACATTGTGTCTGCTTGTGGCCAACAAAGGCATTCAGGGAAGTAAACTGTTTCTTGCATTTGCCGCATTGAAAAATATCCTCCTCCTCTTCTAAAGCAATAAAAGTTAAATTAGATTACGTAGTGAATATTGAAATAAAAAGTTTGATAATTATTCAATTTGATTTTTTCAAAAACATACTTAACAGAAAGCACAAAATATTGTCCTCAGCATCAGCTAATAATTAGAGTACAAAAGTGTTACACAATGTTTTATTGAATAAATGGTTCTAGCTAATTTTACAGGATTATTTTCAGATTCCACTTAAACATAAGCAAAATGATTTTATTTTAAATAGGTTCAAATTATAATTAAGAGTATAAATTGTCATTTTTTTAACATTCAAAATTTCCTATATCATCTAAAGGTAAGTTCCAAAAAAGGCAGGGGTCAGCAAACAGGGGTAAATAACCCTAAATGGGGTAAAAATAAAAATCTTGGGAGGTAGTGAGGCTCAATAGACATAATTGTTCCCTTTTACCACAGAATTTATTTTTCTGACAACACTGCATCTGTCCAGTGGAATAAAAAAATGCGCCAAACATGATGTAACTAGTAACAGCAGCACATCTTGTCTTGTGAACATCATTGTTGACTAGATGCCTGTAGACAAATTTTGTTTTACCATCCATATGCTCTAACAAAGAGCTGCAATGGAGATTAAAATTTGCACATGCAAAGGCCTTCAAAAGTTAATTTAGCTGCTAACCCTCTCCCCCATTGACAGCAACGAGGCCATGACAGGCTATTCCGGCTCATACCAGGGAGAAGCCAGTATAGGAACTGCTCATTCCTGCCAAAGACAATCAGGGATTCGAACAAGCTTTCAAAAGGAACAGTGGAGGCAACAACACTTTACACATTTGCATCTATTGCCTCGGGCCTTCCAACTCCCAGTGCAACCAGTGAAATATCCTCATCAACACCAGACAAAGAAACATTGCAAATCCCCTCTGCATGCAAAGGAGCCAAAATGATCTATAAATTGATCGTGGACCCTTAATGTATATAAGAAGAAAAGGTTGCTGCCTCATACAACAACCTACTTTTTCAAACAATGTTGTCAGTCACCCCCTCCCCCCCCCACCCTTAAAAAAAATAAAATCAAAGAAGCGTAATGAATTACTGAACCCTGTTACATTTAGACCAGTGGTTCCCAACCTTGGCTCCATTTTATTCTTCATATATAAATAGATTCAATTAAACATTTTTAATTTATTATATGGTCTTCCCTTTTAGATTAAGGGGGTAACCTTGACGCAAACTATATATATTTTGTATTTATGTAGTTTAATATTTAAATTAATTAATTTAAAGGTGGAAAAAGTCTATGCTGTGGGCACTAACTGATTTTGTTGGACAATTTACCACAAGCTTGTTATTTTAAATCTAGATTTAAAATGAAATAATATAATATTTCATAATAAATAATACAAAAACAATGTAAACCAGTTTAAAAATAAGTTAAGAGCCCAGTTACTTATTTTATATAAACAAATTATAAATACAAATAATTTACTTTATATTTTCTTTATAAAATTTACTTAAACATACTATGTAGCCTAAATTATACAGTCATCAATAAAAAAAGTATTTTATTGACACAAAATTTTTGACACAAAATTTTTATTTATCGTAATATCTGCATGAAAGACAATAACTTAATAGTGAAGGTTCACCTTGTGTTTCAGCCACAGCCTGGGAGTCAAGCAGAGACTGGACTGCAATAGCTGTCTGATTGTCAACTGTTTGAACTAAAACAGAAAGTAAATCCAGATTGAATGTGTTTAAAAATACATTCAGTTTTTTTAGCATCTTAACTACTACATTTTTCAAGCATTATATAGTCATTAAAACTTATGTTTATTTTTAAGTTTCAAATGTATAAATATAATAAATACATACTTTGTTGTCAATTTTTGTTTAATTACTTTAATTCATAATTGAAAATAATGGACAAGGAGGCTGCATTCCCGCTCTGGTTATGGCTGCTAACCCTTGACATTATTCAATGGAGTTTAAGCTTCTTTAGATTAGGAATTACTCTGTAAATAATATCCCTAACAACTTTTCTTCCCAAAAAGAAATACAAAACATAAAAATTATATTTTTCTATAAATTAAAATTTGTACACTATTCTTCAGTCCATTTCTGGAAAAATTAACTGATTTTAAAAAAGTAGGTACTTAGTTAATAAAAGACATCTGTGCTTTTAAATAAATTTTATTTTTTCCTATCTCAAAAAGCAACATTTTTGATATTTCAATGACATTAAAACATGACTAATACCTGCTTATAAATAGTGGATGTTAAAGTTTTACAAATGTGAATTTGAAAGTAATGGGTAAAATTATTCATGATAAATCATGTGATTCTCATTTTGTTTACCACAGGACGAGATTGTTAATACTTTTTATCATTCTTTGCATTTACATTTGATTTTTAAATAGCTGTCATGACTTTGAACTTCAAATAGGGTGTAGTTCAGTGCATTGAAATAATTTTAACTATCCATATTGATTAATTGACATTATTTTATTTAAAAAAATTTTTTTTCACTTCGCTATGTTTGCCACTAGGATATTAGAATTCCATGTACCGGCAGCACAGCTGGTAGGAGAGAGGAAGCAGCTTCAAATAGCACTATTTCAGAAAAGATTAATAAAATACCTCCTTTTGGGAATATTAAGAAATGTTTTTTTATATTTATTTTTTAATAAAACTTATTACATGGGATACAGTTACAAAACATTTTTTTCTTTTATTACCCTTTTCTGGATGCAAATAATAAGTACAATAATTTACCTATGAAACGGAAATGCACAACCTTACAATTGCCACTTTCCCAGGATTTTTATAAAAATAAATTACTAGGGCTTAGCTGGGTGCCGTATTTTTACACCGGGTCTGGGCATTTTGAGAAAATACCTGGTGGGTCCAAGAGTTACAAAAAACGTTAACTTCTCAATTTCTATAAAATATGCAGGCCTTTAACAAATAGGCCTACAGACAGTCCTACACCATGCCCGTGGCTCTTTATTATTAATATAATAGTAGCCTCCCTATAAAAAAAAAACTACCTGAACTGAGTTCAGACGCTACACATAAAAGCTCGCTGCGTGACATTTTTTTTTTCCCACTTTTATATATGTATAAGGGATAATGGAATAAAATCTTGGCCCTTTTAAAAAAATGTTATCATGTTATAATGGTTTTAAAAAACCTTCTAGTTCTAGAAATACTTTATGCCAGCCATTTTCTCAATAAAAGCCATTACAATACTATATTCTAATTTATATATAGTAATATTGGCCTAGTCTCTACTGTCTATTTCTATTGACAATATACTATGACAGTTTTCCCCAAATGGTGGTCTGTGAAGCGGCACAGGCCCACTAATACCTTATGCTGCTGGGCCACTAATAATTGAAAGACTTACACTTACAGATTTCATAAAAATAAAAGAAAATATAGCGCAACTAAAATATATTTCGGGTCAAATAAAAACAAAATATAACCAATTATACTGCCACCAGTTCCTGGTGCAATTTCAAAACTTGTCAGCCAAACTTAAAATTTTGGGAAACACAGAACTATTATTACTATTATCCTGCACAGACGATGGCGCTCATAGGCTGTACTAATGAATGCCTTTAACTATAACTAATAAATCTCAGAACTGAGAATCTCAGCTTTTATTAGGCCTAGGCATATACTATGTAAGTATATACAAATTAATATATGCCCTGAAACAAACACTAAATCTGAACTCAGTGAACTGATTGTAGTACAGAGTAAAGTTAAAGTAAGTCAACTGCAACTGTACTTTCTTTACTTTTAGTGGAGGGGAAGGTTGTGATGTTAAGTGTTGTTTTCAATTTGATATATAAAATATATTCCACAGGTCAACACTGCACTGAAGAAATAACATTCTGAATGCAGACTCCACTGATCACTGATACTGATGAGAACTGAGGAATGTGTCAGTTTTGACTCTAAAGACTTAAGACCACAAGTGACTAATAAGACTAAGACTAAGATAATAATAATTACGTGGTTAATAATAATAATAATTAAATGGTTTTGTTAGACCTACGGAAGACAATATTAATGAATTCTACGTTTACCATTGTTTAAAGGTTGGTTCAGTTGATAGCAGAGGGCAATACATGCATTTGCGTCTGCTGTTGAACCTTGTGTTGACAGCCGTTCCATGAATCATCCCACAACCCGCAACTAGTTATTGTGTGAAAAAATACATCTATCTATTAAGGTTAACTAAGATAAGAAATCTGAGAAAATATCATCTGATAGTAAATGAGATTTAATTTTCATGAGTGGTTGGTTAACCAATTAAAGTTAAAATCTTAACAATTTTTGTTGTTTTTCCCTTTGATTGTAAAGGGTATTTAAAATGGCGAATATCCCCCCTCCGCTGAAAATTGTTTTCGCGTTAAAACTCGCAGGAATATACGAGAGTACCGTGAAGCAAAGAGAAATAATACATGAAAAATTAACAAGTTCGATTTTTGAGATCATTTCCCTTTTTTTCCCCACAACGCACAATTTCAGCTTTTGTTCATCCAATCACTATATGAGTAAAACATAGCTAAGGAACGTATTGAAATGAAATATAGTTACAGAAAAAAATTAAATGCTACGTGAGAGTTTTTATTTTTAATTAAGTATATATTTTATAGCTCAGTTTCATTTATTTAAATGCAATATTTATACACTAGTTATTTTTTATTATTTTTTTAGTTATTTATTTAGGCATTTTTATATGGCTGCATCTATAGGTACCCGGGTACCTTTAATTGTAAATGACTATTCGCACCCGGAGTGGCTCCGTACAGATTAAATGGCTTTGGAGCCGGTTGTGATAACAATAATAGTATGAGAATTATTTTTTTTTAAATTGTTTTTCTCCTTGTTATTTCATGGATTCATAGTTTTATTCTTTTTATTTTTTTTTATTTTTGCTATGTTAATTTCTCTTAGGACGGGTAGATTATTTTTCTTTCCTATTTTCTTTTTTAGTTTAATCCATTTTCATAGATCATTTTTTTTTTAATCTAGTAATGAAGATGATTTACATATATTTATTGTTTTCATTTGGATTTTAGAAAAGTAATAATATTAATTTAATTATTAAAATTAAATCCTTTATGTAAGATTATTTATGTGTATTGTTTAAGTTAAAAGATTTAATCACACAGCACTTTATGAATTAATAGGTATTCTAAATAATGAAAATTTCATTCATAATGAATTAATTTCAACTATTCCTCTAGAGAGCTTGGCTTAGTCAGAACAAAACCACCAATTTTAAACTTTTTCCTTGGTTTGGCACTGGGAGTCATACATGCGGACACTGACTGTTTTTTCTGATATCTCGAATCTCCTTTCAACAACTTTTCACATTTGACTTGACCTAATTCACAAGGTAGTTGCAATGAACATCTTAAAGTTAAAGGATGCCATTGTATAAAGCATGAGAAAGAGACTTATTTTTGGAGGACTCGTCTTTTTTTACCATATCTGTCTACTGGGTCTAACACTTGTACATAATTTAAAATTTAATATAAAAAAAAACCTTAACTGACTTGAGAACATTTTTGTTTGGTTGTTAGTTATTTGAGTTGTGTACTCAAGTAATCCATAAAATAAATTAGGGGCCAGTAAGGAGTAGGCAGCCAATAAACTCATTCAATTAGGTCACATCATTCCTTTGCCATTTGTCTCCTTTTACTTTCTCACATTCCTTGTTGGTACCCATACAGTTAACTATTGTTTCTATCATTTCTTCATTTAAGTACATATGTAATGATTGAGTGGGAGCAAATATATGTGATCTGTGAAGGGAGTTTGGTTTCCAGGCAACTAAGTCATGCCACATTGAAAATAAAATACTGATAACCCTAAATAAATAAGAGCCATTGAAAAAAATATAGTACATACAAACCATACACAAACAGAAAGACAAAAATCCACTAAAGTTTATTTTAAAAAAATTTGTTGTGACTTTTATTGCAAAAAATTAAACATTTTATACCAATTTTGACTTTTACGCAAAATTATTAAAGACAAATTTGTATTGCATTGTATTGTAACTTATTGTACTGTATTTTAAATGAAACTTGGCATACACATTAAGAATAACATTGACATAAAGATTAAAGAAGCTTATTACACAGCAGTTATTGGAAGTGTTACAAATAGCATGTATGTGGGGGTCACATAAATATTCGAGAACTCTTCAGGAGTAGCAAATGTAAAAATGTTATAAACCTTATCTAGTTGGATATACCCGGTATATAAAAAAAGCCTCTTGAATTTTGTAAAGAATATCAATGAAAAGCAGCATGCAATGTTTGAAGGCTGTTGCTAGAATACTTTTCCTCCCAATTCATTTGGCGTTACTAAAAAATCAGGAAAATGCAAAATTGAGAAAAATGAAAAAAAGTATAAAATTGTGTTTTTGAAATTAGAGAGCTGCATGAACGATATAGGATGCATACACCATGTACATATATCATTCATGAATTAAAAAACAATTAGAAAACTAAGACAGAAAAGATAGAAAAAAAATTAACACACGAACCTAATAAAAAAAAATACATAAACAAAAAAATTCTGAAAAATTCTCCTTTGAGATATTTGTTTAAAAACCATTCATCATTAAGTAGAGAATGTCAATATAAATAAGCATGCAAAGTTTCAATTATGTAGTTCCAAAACTATTCCTCCTGATTCATCAATTGACGTCAGAAAAAAATAATTAAAATGCTATTTCGATAAAAGCTGAAAAAGACACTGACAAATGCTTATTAAAAAAATTAAAGGTTATTTGAACAACATTGGATGCATACATCATGAACACATTCCACTCGTTAATTAAAAAAAACAATTTAAGTACATAGGTATAATTGATAGAATATAAATGAATGCATTTTCCCAACAACCCACTAGCCTCGAGACTAATAAAAATAATAAGATCATAAAAACTTCGGAATTTTGTTTATGAGACATGTAATAAAAAAAAATTCAATCATTATGTAGAGAATATAATAGAAAAAACCTTGCAAATTTTAAAGTATGTGGTAATAATACTTTTCCTCATAATACATTTGACGTCAAAGATAAATGGAAAATCCTAAGTGGACCACTTTAAAAAGAGAAAAAAATTCAATTAAGCAATATTAGAAATATAGGAGTGAAATAAAATGAAATTTAAAGCATATCAATGTGAAATTATCATAAAAGATAAGAATTTTCTAGATATTTTTACAAATGTTAAACAATATTGTTGAACATGTTAATGTTTTTAATAAGAAATCAATAGACTCAGTTCAGGAAACAAAAATCTGCCCAAGAAATATAATAAAAATATTAAAATTGGTTATTTATACAATTTTGTAAAATAATTTTCAGCACATTTAAAACATTTACATATTTATAAAAGTAGCTGAAATCTTTCGGAACCAATCATTGCGAATTAGCAGTGAAAATAAATTTACAAGAACAAGTCAAGAATGACAATTATCTCAGCAAGGCCGTTTCAAACCCAGTTGTTGGGTTCAGCTGTCTATGTTCTATATACCGGTATTCACTTTTCTGCGTGTTAACTTGTCCGTTGGTTCACTAGTCCTGTGTTCGGATGTGTTATGGTGAGTTGTGGGTTTACTTGTCCTGCGTTCATTTGCGCGGCCACCGCAGCGGACACAAACCATAAAGTTTATGCAGCATT